AGCAACAGGTTTTCACTGCGGTACAAACAAACAACACCAGCGACAGCAGCATCGCCAGCAACACGAGCAACACCAGCAGTAACAGCAACAGCAAACAGCAACAGCAACAGTAGCAGCAGCAGCAACAGCAGCAGCAGCAGCAGCAGCAACAGCAACAGCAACAGAAACATCAACACCAACACCGACGCCATCAACACCACCAACACCACCAACAGCACCAACAGGGCAAGGCCAACACCACACCAACAGCAACAGCGAAGACGACTACTGGAACTTTGTTAGCTTCTGTAGACTGCTGGCACCGCTGGTACTCCTGCCTTTCGACAGCGTGCTGTTGATGCCACGACTGCAGGTCGAAGCCGCCGTGGCCGTGATCCTGTCCGATCAGAGTTTCGTGTCACTCGACTTCTTCGTTGCCTCGCAGCGCTTGGCCGCTCCCACGGCGAGGCTGGTAGTGGCGATGGTGGTACGCGTCGTTGTGTTGCTGCTTAGTCGCCACTGCTGTGTTAGCAATGCTGGTAGCAGTATGTAGCAGGAGTAGAGTGAAGGTTGCAGAAGTCGTTGGCGCATAGAAGTAGAAGTAGCCATATAGAGCGTCTCTACAAATCGTCATGCCGACCTTGATGGAAAATTTCTGAGAAAGTAATCACCCCAATGCAGTTCTCTACGCAGTGGGTGCTGCATTAGGGTACCCAGGTTCCAAATTCGAATGCAAACACACAGCGGCAGCGCGTGTGATGACTGCTGTATATGTGTCTGCACGTATTCTGATATAACTACACCCATTTTCCGTCCTAAATCTGTGGCGGTCGGACTTCCTTTAGCATGTATGGTGGTTCGTTCCAATAGAAGGAAGAATCAGAAAGAAACTACCTGAACAACAGGCAAAAACAACGGCCCCGCGGAGGCACCGGTGCAAGGAGCAAGTTCGCACAGAGGAGATCCTGCCGCTCGCAGTCCTGGGCATGGCTGCGTTGCAATGTAGGATGTTACAGAATATGCCATGTTGACTTAAAGAGTATGTGCTGTATGTAGAAGAGCTACGGGGTAGGCTACAGGGTGCATGGAGCTATCTAGTTTGTGGAGTCGGACTACAGTACAATGGCGGAGTTGACGATGCGGGCATGCTTGGTCGCATAGAGAAGAAGTCCGAGCAGACTAGTTTTCAGTGACTGAGCAAGGTACGTGAGTCAGCGCTCGTGCTGTTCGCCCCCAAGAGACCTCGAGCGGGAGGGTGTCGGATTTGGACAAGAGGATCGAGTGTCGTTGTTTTCTGCAGACACAGCCTGGCAAGTGGTGTCCTGTCAGCAAACAGAGGCCGGCATTAGCTGCTTGTTGTCTTGTCTGTATGTCCTTGCAGCGGAAGACGAAGCTTCCGAAACACTGGTCGCATCTGCGTGGAAGTACTTGCCCTTTCCGCCCTTCTGCCTGGGGCTGCGGCTTTTGCTGGAAGGGCGCACGCAGCAAATGCAAGATCCCGAGAAGGCCGCGGTGGCCCATGGCATGTATCAGCTGCTGACAGCGATATGTCCGGAGCATAGCGAGCGGGAGTCCCTCTTTGAGTATTCCCGGCTGCTGCTGTCGCATCTTTTGCAGCCTGAGAGCTCAAGCTCAGCGACTTCGTCGCCGCCTCGTTTCCGGACTGTGGACTTGATGTGCAGTGTCAGCCACGCAGCTTTGAAGGACAGGGCCTCCGCACTGTTGCGCCGGATTTCTTTCTAGGCTTGTAGGCTCGACTCGTGCATGGACAGGAGCCAGTCTTTTGCCTTCGAGACGTCCCGGATACAGGCTTCAATCGAGAAGCCGCGCTGCAGTGCCTGTCAGAAAGTGCTGCGGAGAAGATTGTCTTGGATGAGGATGGAGAGCCAGACGCCTGGGAGTCAGAAGTGTTGCGTGGTAGGGCTGCTGAGGAGCTAGTGGAAAGCCTTACATTGTCACGGCTTGTGAGAGCCTATGCCCCCATGACTGAGTGCCTGGTGATGGAAGCTTCTCCACCACCTTCCGTGGCTGTGTCAAGCGACCAATTCCCATCCTGGACGAGCTTGCGGAAGCACTGTGGGACAGAAGCTGCGCAGTGCATGCGGTTGCTCAGCGTTCTGTCGCTGAAAAGTTGTCGCTGCCCGCCCAAGCTTACCAAAACCAAGGAAGGCGTTGTGGTCGTCTTCACAGGGCACGGAAAGTCTGCTGCAGGCAGTGCAGTGATTTTTGATCCCTGCTTGGGCTCCGAGGAGCACATGGACTTGGATGTGGCTGCCAAGAACCTTTCTGAGATAGGTACCAGCTTTTATGCAGAGCTTCAGGAGAAGGAGCTGCTTGAAGGCATCATCGTTTGCCTTGATGTCTCTGATTCCATGAGCAAGCACTCGTCTTTCGAGCGGGATGATGTCGCAGGAATGCTTCAGGAGAGCCAGGATTTGGAGCAAAACCCGAGCGACGACTCTGCAGAGGCCCTGCAGCGCCACTTGAAGCGCTTCGATCTACAGCCCGGGATGGCGTACATCCGCCAAATTGTCCAAGAACGTACAACCTTGAGAGCGCAGGCCGACTGTGCAGCCATGGTGTTAGAAGATCTTCGCAGCCTGGCGCGAGTCACACCAAGAGGCTCCGCGGATGATGCCAGGCGAATGGTCAAGCACACATCGGAGTTTGCGAAAGTTCTGCTGGAACATGATGAAGATGATCCGCCGCCTGAGTTTTGCTGTCCCATCACCAGGAGTTTAATGAGGAATGCCGTCTGCGCGCCGGACGGCTTCACTTACGAAAGTGATGCAATCTCAGCATGGTTCGAGAAGTCCCAGTCGTCACCTATGACCGGGCAAAGGTTAGCCGACACGACTCTCGTTCCCAACCATGTACTGCGGTCGCAGATACAAGACTGGTGTGATTGTCATCCTGCGCAGAGGCAGCCACCAGCTGTGTCAGAACAGGGAGAATTGCACGTGGTGTGCTACATGCCCACGAGCAGCTCAAGGGCCGTAGTTGAGCTGAGTCTGCCAGCGACCGCCACCCCGGCAGTTCTGAAGCAGCAGCTGAGATCCATCACATTTCTGCCGGCCGCTTACCACCTCATCTACCATGCCGGCAATTTGCTGCCGGAGCTCGTGGAGCTCAGAACCGCCGGCATTCGCGATGGCTCTCCGCTGGAAGTCTTCACTTCGGCCGAGCTTGCCCACACACGCCATCGAAACAGCAGGACGATTCGGGTGCTGCTGGAGTCGAGCTCGTCTTCCACGGCCGTCCAGTTTGAGGTGGGCTCGTGCGAGCTTGTGATCTCTTTGAAGTGCCGCCTCTGGGCGGGCCTTCCGAAAGCTCAGCAGCGATCCAGCGGACCAAGTCGCATGGATCTCTGGTTCAACTTGCACGAGGCTGAGAGCCTGAGAGCATCAAACTCATGCTGTATCGTTTCGGGAAAGTAGTTGAGGCTGATCCCGGTTTGCTGCTTGACTCTGCGCGTTGCGATGTAGACAGGCGGGGGACGGCTTCCTCAGGGGCACGCTCCTCTCGGACGATCATTGTGTTGGACTTTATGCAGGCGACGCGCAGGAGATCAAGCTGGAGTTTGATCTAAGTCGGCAAGGGAGGGAGAAGATCCGGGTAGCCAAGGCCTCTGGCCGCTACCTTGATCGACTCACCGCATCTCTGCTCAAGCCGTCCTAGGTTGGCTCGAGTTTTCGTGTGGTGTACTGGGCAATGTGTAGTGGTGTAGGAGTTTTAGATTCCATCTTCCGTAGGTAGCTTGCTTTTGGTGGGACGAAGCATGTTGTCTTGTGATGTTCTGATACACTTCAGGTCGTCAAACAGCTCTTCAACGCCTTCATTGACAGGTCCTTGGCCTACAACAACCCTTGTGCTATCGGCTTGATATGCTTCGGGAGCTCGGTAGAGGAGCACTGTGAGCTGACTCCAGCCTACGAAAGCTTCCGCGATAGCATCTCGGAAGTCAAGCCCGATGGGGACACCCGACTCTTTGATGCCCTGCAGATGGCGGCTGAGAAGCTCGATTCCTGGAAGGCACAGGAACTTTCGAAACCAGGCCCCGGCCGGAAGGCGAAGCCCCCGAAGCTTCGCCTCGTTGTTCTCTCCGATGGCTGTGACACGAGCTCCGTGAAGGAGGCGCCGCAGGTCGCCCAGTTCTTACAGAGCAAGGGTGTGGTTGTGGATGCTGTGATGATTGGCAATGAGACGGATCCTGACCTTCATGCGGTATGCAAAGCAAGCGGAGGCTACGTCTTCCGGCCAGCAAGCCTCCAAGATGCGGTGCGCTTGAATGAGTTAGAAACCTTCCTGTTCAGTCTGGAGCGGCCTCCCAGCAATCAAAGGAGCATGAACTCCACTGATTCCCTTGAAGCCTATGGCCCGGCCTTCTTCCCGCTGGACCCATGCAGCGAGGACCAAGTTCCACCCCGGAAACATCCGGCCCAGCTGGAAAGCTGCGTGCACGGCTTGCAGGATGCCCTGCACCAGACGGCTGAGGGCCCCGCCCTGGCGGGGAGGGAGGCCTGGGCTCGGAGGACCAGGATCCTCGCAGAAATGCGGTATTTGCACCGGGAGCCACACCCGGCCTTTGACGTTTTCCCCAGCTGCGATGACATCGGGTTTTGGAAGGTGACGGTCTCCGGCCCAGATGGGACGCCATACGCAGGAGGAGTCTGGCTCCTTTACGTTGTTTTTCCAACGGAGTTCCCCGTGGAGCCACCAGAAGTTCGGTTCATCACGCCTATCAAGCACTGCAACATCAATCAGCATGGCCGCGTGTGTCATTCGATCCTTGGCCGAAACTGGACACGTGAGACGCGGGCGCGGAGCTTGCTGGAGAGCATCTATGGTTTGCTTTTGTGTCCGGATGTGGATGATCCGCTGGACAGCCGCTCAGCTCATACTACATTTCTTCAATCGAGCTTGTTGCTTGTGGTCATGTAATTAAGAGCCTCTGTAAGTGGAGCAAATCTTAGATGCTTTGCAGATCTTTGCAGGTCTCCGAGACTGGAGCATGAAAAACCCACCCTGCCCAGTCCCAGGCACTCTGGCACTGGCTTTCTATGACGACAGCGGCTTGTACGAGTCATCCATTGTGGACCATGTACAAAGGCACGCTAAGTGCAAGACCCGGGCCGACTGGCTGGCGCTGCTGTCTGCCCCAGAGGAACAGCCGCCACCGGGTCCTTAGACCATCGTTGGCCAGAGAGCCGTATGAACATATGAACCATGCGAAGGTACTATGATACTTTGAATCAATGAACATTACAGCAGGTGCATGCAGACACTGCGGAAGTTCCATTGTGCTACGTTGTGCAGCCGTAGCATCGAAGTACAGACAGCTGGGCAAACTGGCCTCAAGTGCCTTTGCTGGCAGCTCTGCCTTTGGACAATGTTCCTGTGCTCACCACTTTGAAAGCCAGTCAGTCTACTGAGTTGTGTGGCCTGCGGGTATATGATAGTCTGATAGTCTGAAGTTCCCAGCTATACTTGATGCCGGGATTTGGTGAGATACCGAGCTATAAGGACCAGTCTTCTGGTACTAATGTCCACTCTGTCGCTACATTATATACATGTACTGAATAAAGCCATACACGGTAGTAGTAACAACATCGTTGTGGTGACTGTTGTAGCACGCGGAGCAGCTGCAGATCTAGAGTATACAGTACAAAAACACTACCTTAGGATGGTTCCGAACCCGAAACTCCAAGCTTTCACCCCTAAGCCATACTAGCGATAAGCCTTGAGCCCACAACTACTGTCATCAGAATCCCTGGCCAGGTTGGGGTAGGGGCCGTTGCTCGCTGCAAGCCACCTGGCTAGTAGACTGATATTGCAGGCATTATCGTTTGTTTCAGCGCAGTGTATTGGTATCTGAGACGCTGCAGCCAAGGCAGCCCACCAACAATGATCGGCGTTCGACCCGGAGCATGATAGCTCGCAAGAGCCAAGGATGAGCTGAAGGTGGTCGTCGCAGGCGGGGACAAGCTGAGGGCTCCTGCGGGTTCATGTCTGGAGTCCAAGTGTCAGCTCTGTAGAATTGGGGCTGTAGTCGATGGAGGTCTTCAGGTAAAAGTAGAAGGGGGGATCACAGCGGCTTACGAGCAGGACGCCTTGGCTTCAAAGCGAGGCCGCAGGGCTGCACGTAGAAGCTGCGTCCTTCGGTGGTCTCAAGTCGCAAGTGCCGATCGGAGAAGCGATAGCAAGGATCACGGCGCGTCTGACCATGAGTGCCCTTGAACATCCTGAAGTCTCCTACGTGGAGGCTAAACCCGAAATTGAAAGCCCTGTCATGATCTGGAGTCCAAGGTCCCATGAGTCCACGAGGGTCGGGGCGACCCGCAGGATGTCCAGTCGTCGGCAGTCTTGGGCACAGCTAAAAAAACAAGCCCGTGCGGTCCCGAGCGAGGACTCAATCCTCTCAGCCTGCACCCAAAGTCTCTGACGGCATTGAAGAGACATGAAGAGATGCTACGGTTGAATCTGAGCATCCGAACATGCCGGTGCAGCTGCGAGCTCTCGAGTCCCACGAACTTGAGCAGCCCACTTGAAGACGAGTTCCCTCGAAGAGGCATGGCATTGTGTGGTAGAGTGTATTGAAGAAGAGGGTTGTCTCACATACAGTAAGAACACCGGAAATGGACCCTCGCTCGGGGTCCTCTGTCACGTGCAGCCTGAATCTATGTCGTCGGCACGCTGCCTGGAAGCATCCGCGCATGATGATGTATCTGCTGTAGAGTACTACTGTGTCACAGAGGCCGCCAAGCTCGCTGCTTTCAAGGCGGCCGTTGAGCTGAGGAGCCTGCGAGTCTCTTCGCACCTGTCGGAGTTTCTGAACGCGACGCAGCCTCAGGATTTCCCTTTACCGATCCGTGTTTGCAACAAATGGTGGTGTCACTGGACAGAGCATGGTAAGCTCTGCAAGGGACCGTCTCGTGACAAATCAGATCTGGGACAGCTCTGTTGCTGTCATCATCGCTTGTGGGAGCGCTGGGATGCTCGCTCGCAGGATCCCGACCCTCATCACACAGTACTGTACGACAACATTACAGGCAACGCTTCTTTACTGGTAGCGGCTGCAGCCGACGGCAAGCAAGCACTTCTGCAAAACCTCTGGACTGATCAGGGGCTGCAGGCGGACTGGCATGCTGCGCTTGCTGCGGCTGTCTCCCACAAGCGTATCGATGCGGTGCATTTCTTGCTTGATCGCGGCTGCGTTCAGCATAGCTGTTTAGAGCCGTCGTATGCAGGGGTTCCTTTAGTCATTTGGGCGGCCAGCCTTGGACAAGCCGATATTCTGGAGAGTCTGGTTGAGAAAAAGGCTTCATTGCAGGTTTCTCCCACTAGACCACACTATGCATATACTGTGCTTTGTGCAGCATTGGTCTTCTCTGACGGATTCGAAGGTGCTCCCAGCGTCATAAAGTATGCGGTCAAGAGGCCGGCAGATTTCGGCTGGCTGGTGCGGCAGAACCTCGACGGTAAATCGCCCATGATCCTGGCGGCGGAGAACACGAATAATGCCAGTTTGGAGATTCTCTTGAAGGCTGGAGTGAGCCCTGAGCAGACCGCGGTTTGGGGTGAAATGGCGATTCACAAGGCAGCTTACATCAACCATCTGGACACCGTCAAGATGTTGTGGAAGTTCCGAGCCAACGTGGAGGCTCAAAGCGCCCGTGGTAGCACTGCTTTGGCGGTGGCAGCTGACCGTGGCTTTGATGACATCGTTGGGTACTTGGTTCATGTTTGCAAGGCCAACATCTGTACTAGCGATCTCTGGGGCCACAGTTCCGCACATCTTGCTGCCTTCAACGGCAATCTCAAAGTTATGGAAATCTTGGAACACGCACAGGGAGCTTTCGCAAATTGCATCAACCAGCCAGACGATCATGGCCTGAATGGTCTAGACATTGCTGCACAACAGGGGCATGTAGATCTTGTGCAGCGCCTCTTGCCCAAAATCAAAGACAAGACAACGGCGCTGTTTTGGGCTGCGGAAGGGCATCCCAAAATTGTAGAGCTATTGCTGCAAGCTGTTCCAGCCAGCCTTACGGCAAAACAGCCTGATGGACGGACAGCTTTGCACCACGCTGCGGAAGCAGGCGATGTTGCGAGTCTTCGAGCCTTACTTCGATCGAAGGCGGATCTGGGAAGCTTGGACGTGAATGGAAGCAGTCCGTTGTGTGCTGCGGCGCGCAGCGCTGAGCCGAGGGCAGTGGACACACTGCTCAGTGCGCGTGCCTGGGTTGGCTCTGCAGATTGGACCTGCTTAGACGATGCAGCTGTCGCAGCAAAGTGGTGGGACCCCAGCAAATGGGTCATGGCCAAGAAGTGCACCTTGCTTCTGGCAGGTCGCGCTAGTCAGCGAGGCGCGAAGTCCTTGGCTGCAATTCTGCATGGAGAAGGGACAGAAAATCCGAAGGCCACTTTGAGCATTGGCAAGCTGGGCTGGACCAGCCTGCACTGGGCAGTGATGCTGCGACACGTTGTTTTAATCCAGAGGATCGCATCTACGAATCCTGGAGTGGGTGCCTCTTTGGATTTCCGTGGTCGCACGGCCTTGAGCCTTGCTTCGGAGCTTGGTCTGCTCGAAGCGGTCGACCTCCTTGCCAATCCGGAGTTGAACAGTGTGGATGAGACGGGCCTGTCGCCGCTCATGTGGGCTGCCAAGCGTGGCCATGCAGGGATTTGCAAGAAGTTGCTGCAGCTCAAGGCCGACCCGGATCAGAGAGACGCGAGCCGCAACACTCTCATGCACCTCGCCGCCTTAAGCGGAAAGAGAAAAGTGGTTGATGTGTTCAAAAAGACATTGGACACCAAGTCAAAAGTCCAGAATCAGCTTGGGGAGACTGCTCTGTTCAGTGCCGTGCGTAGCAAGAACGCTTCGTTGGTAAAGTACATGCTCTCTGAGCTGAACTACAGTGCCAATCACTCGAACATTCTCGGGCGGACAGCCCTGTTTGATTCCCTGCGCTCTTGTCAGCCTCAAGTGTGGAAAATTTTGAAAGAAGAGGCGAATATCCACCAAAGGGACTACTTGGATTTTGGCATTGACGAATTGCCGGAGTTTAAGAGTTCAGTTTGTTTGAAGAGGACGGATACCGATCTTCTCTGGACATTGGATGCTCAGGTGGCCTCGACAAGTTTCCGTGAGAAGCTCGTAGATGTTGCACGAGATGAAGACTTTCACAAGTATCTCCTCGTGACGCTGGCCTTGTCGGCTATTCTAGGCGGTATGTTCAGGTGTTGGAGCCATTGGCGTGGGCGTGCGGCTTTGGCAAACGATGGTGTGTGCGTCGACTCTGATACTTCAGACAGCGAGGCAGCAGATGAACCCACAGAGACAGAGTCATCTCAAGCTCGAGTCTTTATTCGCGGTGGCTCAAGCAACATTACTTGTTGTCAACGCGTTCTGGATGTGTCAGGTCGCGCCACCAGAATCCAGACAGCGGCGAAGGAGTTTGAAAAGCTTGGTGTGCCGAAGCAGCGGGCATTCTTTGCGCGCTGCTTGGATGTCGTTGCCTTGCTCGTCTTCCCATCGATAATGTCCCGGGTTTTAGCTTGGTGGCACATGGTGATATGGGTCCTTCTCACATGCGTCCTGCCTCCGCTCTGGTACCAGTGGGACCTTCGTCGCCTTACTTCTTTGCTGACGCACCCCGGGAGGTTTCTCGGAGTAAGGGACCTGTGGGCTTGGCTCAGAACAGCTTATCTGTTGATGCAGCTTTTGTGGTGCTTTCTGATGTCTAGCGATGCTTGGATGAAGCAGCACGAATACCTTTGGGATCTGGGCTGCTATCCCATGTCAGAATTAAATCAAATCTCCAGAGACGAGTTTCCGATCCCGTTTCCGCCCCTGCTGCAAGCAGGGTGGCCTGTGTTTGTGCTCGTCTGTGCCGTCGGGGCGCTCTGTGTGGGAAGCCTGTGGCTGCTCAGGCGAGCATGGCCGTCGGATGCCTTGACCGGTCTTCTCTTCTCCATTGCAGCCGTCTTCGGTCTGCTGCTGGTGCTATTTTGGCCAGAGGTACCAGCCACCTTGCCGGTGTCCTTGGCCGGCATTCTGGTCACATATCGTGCAGCTGTGTTGCTTCTAACACTCCTCTGGATCATGGTGAACTTGCCCCCTCTTGCCCAAAGCAGTGTTCAGTGTGATGTGCAAGTGCAAGGAGGGCCTGAAGATCAAGTACCTCTCTCGAAGGTCGCTGAAAGGGTGTACAGGGTTGCCATAGAGCGCCGTGATTTGGCTGGATACTGTTCTCCCGAAGATGATGACTTTTTCCAAAGGCACTGCCAACCAGAGACATGTTTCACGGCCTTTAAGGCAACAATGCTGTGGATTCTCGACGTATTTCTAGATCTTCAGACAGTCGTAATCTTTGCAGCCGGGGGTTCCTACATAGCCGCCTCGCTGATTCTTGGGGCATTCTTGTGGGCACTCTTTGCCTCAGCTTCGGCTGGGGCATTGAGCAAAGTCGGATCTGCCCTGCGGCAGACCGTCCGTACTCAAGTGCGAGCACAGGAGTATCAGCAAGTGCTGGACCATGAGGCATCCATCGAAGTGCCGATATCGTTGATCACGACGACATTCAGCCTCCCCTTTGTCGCACATCGGCCAGCATCTGCTATCATGACTCTTGCGAGTATATTCATGTCGCTTGTGCGTCAGGCATCATGGCTCTATGAAGAATTTGACGTGTGTGAAGACATGCACACATACATGACTGAGAGGACTCCGAAATCAGCGAGCAGCATTCCGAAATTCTTTCCAGAGGATTGATCCGAACATGAGGCGTAAAAGCCGACCCGCCACTCCGGCGTCTGCTCGTGCATGAAAAGTGATGCGGATCTGTCTCTGTCCTTGTAGCACGAAGCAGTTTGAAGTGACTAGATACTGACAGCAAGAGCGGCAACAGGCACGAGCATGATCAAGTCATTGAGTCAAGATGAACGAATTCCCGAGGCCCTGAGTCCCGTGAGCCATGCAGCTAGGATCTGAAAAGATTTGGCTGGAGCAGGCCCATACAGGGCTAAATCGGTTCTAGCCGTTGGCGGTATGACTGCTGTTCTTCGTTTTGTAAGGGTTCGCTGCTGCGAACTAGCAGCATTCAAGTGGTTGTTTATGTTTTGACTTGTCGGCCGCGGGTTTAAGATGTAAGGTCAAGTAGTCAGTCAGGTTGAGTAAAGAGAAGAATAGGGTCGTTTATGCTCTGAAAATAAAGAAAGAAAAATGCTTACAATACTGATAATATATCAATCAAGATAACAATAAGTATAGCAATAATACCGAACATAGTAGTAGCGTTTACAAGCTACGCCTCAGCTCCATCTTAGCCGAACGCGTTTCTCTAGCGGCCTCTCAAGCCTGTAGCTTAACCCCGACGACACGGGTCTTGCTGAGACTCGGAGGCTTGTCATGCAATTCTTCAAGGCTTCCGCCGCTTCTGGGTACTAGGTTTTAGTTCTGAAAAAATCTGACAGATCTGGATTTTTAGGTTTAGAACCGATGATGCTTGCAACTGCATGTTTGCTGGTGCTCGCATGGTACTTCCATCCCGGACGTTCGGCGTTGCAAGTGCCTTTCCATTTGTTGCGTCATCTCCATATTGAGCTTCTTCGGCCTGTCGCGGGTGGTGAGGCTGACCTCTGCACTGGGAGAGCTGTTTGCTAAACAAGTGCGTGTCAGCGGTCGACGTGCACAGGGATGCCTTCGCTGCGCCTCGCCCCGCTCTCGTTGTGGCCGAGGTTCTTGCCTGCACACTTGTTGTGATTGTTGTGCAACGATGGGGTGTGCTGGTGCACCAACGTTTGGATCCTTCCAGCAACCCCCAAACGGCAGGCCGAAAGTTGCCAAGTCCAAGTAGATCCCTGCTATCTTTCGCATTCGGCAGGAAGGGCGGCTTTTGGGATGCTCAAACGTGAAGCGGGCGGGGGGTGGGGACTATAGCCAAAGCAAGGCTTGGGATGGTGTTTTCTCCTACAGTGTTTCGATTTTTTGGCTCCTGAGCAGCGCTAGCCGGGCCTTGGGGAAGTGCTGGACGAGGCCCGAGATGCCTAGAGGGCCTAGAGCTCTGTGGGTTCGAGATCGCTCCGAGGATGCGCCCGAAGGGCCCCCGATGGGACTCATGGGTCCATGGGGACTCGACGTGTTTGCTGCAGCTGCATCTTGCTAGCTGTTTGGAAGGTGAAGCCTGCGTCCCCAGAGTCCACCTCATCCTGGTGCACAAACACATGAGAAGAGAGCTGGAGTCGTAAGCTGCTCGATGTTGTGAAGGCCGGCGTGCCAGCATGGGGCGTTTGACGACAGGCCAGCCGGCAAGCGGATCTTGGCAGACTTCCATCTTGTCTTCTTCCATCTTTGTGCAGCAGGTGGGTACCAGCTACTTGTGGCAGAACTTTGACCAGCAGGCTGCGGTTGAGAAGGCTAGCACCCCAAAACGGGACTACCCACTGTTGCCAAGCTGGAATAGTTGAATAGCATAAACTCGTCCGTCCGGGGGGGCGTCCGTGTGTCCGTGCATCCGTCCGGCTGTTCGTCTGTTTCCGTGTACTCGGCTTGCTTGCTTGTTTGGAATTGTGTTTGCTTTGCGTTGCTGTTCTGTTTTGTTTGTTGTGTGCAGAGCTCCAGCTGAGGCTGATCCGTCCCCGAGCGGTCTGCGAACACGTATGCCTGAAAGTGCTACATTCGCACCAGTGTCTCCAGGCGCACGATGATCCCCTCCATCACCTCAGACAGTCGCGTGCGCTTTGCGTCGTCTGGTTTCGTTCATGAGACATTGCAAAGCCTTGTTCTGCTGAGATCGGTCTGGCCGAGCTGGTCCAAATCAAACGTTATCTGCACAGCTACCTAACATGCCCGGCTCTTCTACCTGATGTCAGTCGTTTCGTGCGCCGCAGAAGCCCTTGGCCGACTCTCATTCTGCGGTGTCCAGCTGAACCCATCTTGATGCGTCCCCTAGACCATCGAGCAAACGAGGCAGTTCCAGCCACCGCCACGGAAGGTGAAACCGCAAAGCTTGAGCGAAAACTGCATTAGAGTGTGAATTTTTCTGCCCATTGAAGCTCATCATTTCGGTTTTCTGCCGTCGAGGCTCTTTCTTGCTGCTTTCTTGGATCGTTCACGCTTGCCAAACTCTGGTTTCTGCCATGCAGCCTGCGGGCTCACCGACGTCCCCAAGCTCGGGCGCCTGTTAGGAATGCTGGCTGCGTCCTGACGCGGAGTCCTGCTCGAAGCCAGTCCCACAGAAACAACAACACCGGAAATTCGTGCCTCTTCGGTCATTGGGCTCTCCTGGCTGCGTATATTCCAGGTAGGGCTACTTGGAGACACTGAGCGGTTTAGCACTGTCCCCCGAGGCGGTGAGTCTTGCGACCGGAGCATCATCATCATCATGACCGTCATCAGCATCACCCGTCGTTTGTACTACCACCATCGTCATCACCATCATCGTGACCAGCAGCAGCAGCAGCAGCAGCGGCAGCGGCAGCGGCAGCGGCTGCGTCATCATCACAGCGGTCATAGCTTATCTGGCCGCGTGTGTCCACAGAGGCCCTCAACAGGACAGCCCAGAACTGCGAACTCCTCGGGCTGTACAACATTTCCGCAGGCAGACAGCATGAGCCCAGTGAATGCAACGTCTGCCACTCGCTAAACCCGAAACCTGTCTGCAAGAGTGCTTCCCGCAGATTCTTTACTTTAGTCAAGCTTGCATCTTCTCTTCCAGGTTGGTGGGTTCGGAACCTAGGCCTCGCGTGCGTCTTGTGGCGGTGGCGACGGAGTTCATCAGTCCGATGAAGCTTGTCCGAAAAGAGTTTGGCGACTGAGCTGACCCAGAGAGTGGTGTTAGGATGCCGGCACAGTTCGGAAGTCTTGCCATGGTGCACCCGCGGAAAACGCAGACCCCGACCCGCTTAAAGTGTCTGAAATCACACACACACACTGCTAGTTTGGGAGAACCCGAGATGTTGAACAGCTGCATAGTGAGGAGTTCATTCCTCTTCCGAGGCTTTGATCCAGTTCGGTTCTTTGGGGCCAACTACGTCTCTTGGTGGATACATGCAGGGCTTCCTGGGCGTCTGAGTTCAGTGCGACCCGTTGGGGTGTGCGAAGCACGCGGGTAAAGTTCGAGGTCGCCTGGCTAAAGAGTGATGACAAACAGAGCACGGGACCCGTACCACCAGAGGGGAGGGGGCTCCTCAGCAAAAGTGCCAGGGCTTCTAGGATCTCTGCTCTCGGGGACTCACCCACAGACTTTGAGCTCGATTGTTTTGTTACCCTCGGTACAAAGCTTCTCGAGGAGATGGCCGCAAGGAGCGCTCTGAATTTCGCGACATCGATGAAGATTTGGCTTCTGGGCTCTGACGAGCATTCCATTTCGGCAGGTCTTTGGCGAGTAAGTGCGTGCTGCAAGTTGCCACAGTTCTCTGAAAAAGTCACCATGCCGCCCAAGCAAAAGCAGAAAACAGCAAAAGCAGCTGATGTACCAAGGGGACACGAAGGTGGCTTGAACCCACAAGAAGGAACACGCTCCTACTCACACTTGCACTGAGAAGCCGAGCAATAGTCGCCTGGATCGTTGCCGATGCTATTGTGACAGCGATGTTGTCGAAGTCTTGCACTCCAACAACCTTGACCTATCATGGCACACTACCAGAACACGCACATGGCACATGACCGTTGCGGAAAGCAAGTGGTCAACAGCAAGGTGACACAAAGTTCCGACCCTTGCATCCTGGTCCTAGCCCAGCTGAAGAAGCATGTCACAGGCGGATGGTCTTTCCTGTTAACAGAGTGCAGCAGGAAGAAGCCTTCAGAAGTCGAACCTTCTGCGGAGCTACTCTGCATTGCGCTTTTCCAAATGCCAAAAAGCCCAACAGTGTGCACCCCAATCATCGTGCATCCACCGAGGTTTGACAAGTCCGTCCACCACACGGCCGACGCCACAGCTGCGAAGCATTAGTAAGCATAAGATGAACTCCGACACTGTAAACTGTCACAACTACCTCTCAGATCGTGGCGGTCGATGTGTGGGACATCTGTGAACGTCTCCATGAACACTGCCGGCAGCCGCGAAGGCAAAACTAGGCAATTCTCATCTCCAGACAGTTGATGCACCCATGGTGGACGGCAGGCGACGGCGCAGGCGCCCGAGGACTGGTCACAGGCCGCAGCACTGCCATTGCAAATGCAAGATTCCCTCCCATGCACATCATGCACATGCCAGTTAATCACTCATTCCTCTTCTTGCAAGCAGTTTTCCTGCGAGTCCCACGAGCGAGTAGCGGTTGCCGTCCTCAGAGCAGCAGCTGTGGTGATGCAATGACAAGCAGACCCTCGAAGCTTTGTGATCGCGGTGATAAGATTCGGGGCAACTAAGAAGCCAGCTGCAGAGTCTTAGGCAAGGAATCATTCAGTACCATTTAGTTAGGCCATTTCACCACTTCACCATTCCACCAACCCATACGGTTAGCCCATTTCGCCATTTCACAAATCGACCGTTTCACCAATTCACCAGTCGACACTCCAGTTTTCGCCTTTTCCCCAATTCACCACTTCACTTATCCTGTTATCAGCCCCCATCAAAAACATGGGTGAGTGCTGGAAGCCACCTCCAGCTAAACCCCTTGGAAGAGGTGCACTTGCGTGACTTCGGGCGTGGCTGCTCCCCTCTCACTTCTCGTTTTATGCTGCTGACAGCTGGGCAGATGTTCGGTACCCAGGCTTGAATCAGTGGGCCAGCATCGCCGGGCCTCGTTTGACCTGTCATTCTGCTTTCAACC